ATTGGTATACGCATTGGGGTACGTGATGTTATTCTTAGTTTCAGTTTTTTTCCCGTTGCTCCGGGATAATGATTAAAGGTATAATATTGGCAATGAGGATGCGTACGGACTAATATAAATCCGGTGCGAGTTCCATTTCTATGGTTGCCCGGTGGGAAGATTTGCTAAAGAAAATCACTCGCTGGGTGGAGCTTTACAAAAGTACCCCGAGTAGCTTTAGATTCATTAAGTCAAAACCACTACATTTTTGTGGTATTGTTGCGCATGAATTTTAATTGCTCGAACATGTTGTGCGCAAAACAAGTTTTTCTAGTCTGGTTGCTTGTGACGAGTGCAAAAATTGAACAGTATCCCCTCAACACGATAAGTCAAGTCGTTTTTCCTCAAAAGTCGTTAGTCAATAATACTTATTACTAATTATTTGGACAACAAAACTAAACAAATTGTTATTCTTGTAACAATAATTTTTTTTTCAGTATTTCTTACTCATTTTACACGCAAAAGGTCTTTTGTGAATTTGTCGAGAACCACTTACGTACGCAATCATTGGGATCAAATTTTAAGATAAAAAATAATGCTTACTGTTGTGCAATTGACTTGTAATCGATGAACCAATTTTACAACTCATTTTTATACCAACAATCCCTGAACGTTCATGATTTTATACACTGGATATTATGTATATAGACACAACCACAGACGTAAAACGAGCATGCCTCAGTTTTACAATACCAAGAAATTGTAATTATTTGTTCATCGAAAAGTTCTTGCTTTAAGGTAATCCCCTATGAGGTGAAAATAATGCTGTTATGATGGAGCAACACACGATTGAAAATCGTATGAAAAAACAATTTTTCAGACTTTCAGAATTTTTAACTTCAAAAACGAGGGTTTCAAAAAAATTTCACAAGACATCTGTAGTGTTCAACATAAGCAACAAAAAAATTTTATTTTTAGTCTGTTACTAACATTTGTTAATAACAATTGATTAAAAATTTTTGGGAAAAACTTTGCTGTGTGAGATGATAAAAATACGTCTAATCAGAATAGGTATTTCAATCTCCTACTGGCTAAATCACATTGTTGGTAATTAATATCGTTAAAAAAACTTCTAATTATAATCGAAAATTAGAGTTATTAAGAAAAAAAAGCAAAATTTTGTCAGAAGTGGGATTCGAACCCACGCCCACAGAAGTGGACTGCGACCTGAACGCAGCGCCTTAGACCGCTCGGCCATCCTGACTTGTACCGTCATGCGGATTTACGCCGTTAAGAAGCCTATTGACAAACTATTTATATATTTATACGTTTATCTGTGGTGACCACTTTTTCAAAGTACTTTTTTTCAATTCTGCAACAATTCTTAAATTATCTGGACATTTTTTTAGATAACAACAAATAGTTTAACTTGAAAACAATGTACTCTAGGCAAATATCGATTTTTTGCCATTTTACAATTCATTAAAATATTACCATCTCAATCGATTTTTCTTAACCACAAATATGACTGCCAACGATTTATCCATCAAAAGTATACGTAATCGACGCAATTTTCAACGAAAATCTGAAAAATAAAGATAATAGCCCGAGCGAGTCGTCAGTAGAGAGTATATTTTTTGACGATCACCGCGCTAAAGCAGAGAGCGCGTCCGAAGTGATTTGACCGGAGCAAAGCAAGGCTGCTTCCTACATAATCGACGGCAGCCACGATCGGGATCTGCGCTAAAAAATCGGCAATGAGAGAGAGAGAGAGAGCAACGTATATATAACACTCTCGCGCGTTGCATTTGGCTTATACTATATATATATAAGTAATCCTCACAGCAGCGGCGACGCGCGTATGACATTTGAAAATCGTTTCCGAGGAAAGTTTTTCCGCCGATATATATCGACTTTCACTTCCGCGATAAGGTCCGGTTTCGCGTGTCTCTGTCTACACGCGCGTCACGCGCCTCTGTAATAATTCTCTGCATGTACCATATAGGTACGCACGCACACTCATTTCCACTCCAACACGAGTTTGTATACATTTATATTTATTTCGATCAAATTACACACACGTTTTGTTACGTATAGCCTTACCTCCCGAGTGGCACCTGCAGCGCTCACTTTCAATCAAACAGCGTGAAAACAGCCAGAGAGCGAGGCCTATCATTTGGCTATCGGTGCACTTGTATATATACACTTTTTATCATTCGATCGATCGGTCGGTCGAGGGGCGCCATCAATCGCGAGCGTTATAGCCTTGCGTGGCGAGCGTGCGACCTCCAACTCGATCGGCTGGGAAGGGCGCGGGGAGGGGGGGAGGCCCGCGGTCATGGGAATACATCGCACAAGTGAAAGTGGGCGCGAGAGAGGCATCGACGGGGAATTTTGGGAACGAGATCTCGTTGCACATGCACTTGCTGCCCAGAAGTGTACACACACACACATAAGCAGTTGATATGACTTTCGCGGATTTATCGAGATCGCGCGAGGCGAGCGGGGCCGGCCACTTTTAATAGAAAGCTCTTTCTCACCCGCTGTCTCTTTCTTCCTTTTGCCGGAGCGCTCGGCGTGTGGCCGTTCTCGCGGGTTGCATAAGACGGGAGATACGAGAGCGCTTTGCCGGGCCGATGCATCGCGGATCGCCGTTGAAATACAACCGACTTTGAGATTGCCTTTTTCTCGCGGAAAAAGTGTCATTTGGTAAAACTGATAAACTAACCGTACGAGGATAAAGTTTTTACGATTACCGGGTTTACATTGGGAAAGAAAAAATAAGGTAAATGGTCAAGCATTCGATTATGAAAATATAGCAGATCGGCAACGGGAATGTAGCTGCTGTTTGAAATATTACTGCAGTAGATTATTGAGGCAAAAAATTTTACTCCACCGCACGCGTTTTATAAGTATATGTACTAGTATACCTGGTATAGTGGCGGTTGTTGCAGCACTTCCCCCTTTAAAATAAAAGTTGATAGAAATTCAAAGCAGATACAAATGCTCGCGCGCTTACTCGAGTGCGAGCCTCATTGTGCAAATGGAATTTTTGAATAGCTAGCGTGTTTTGCACGTTTGCCGTATATGTGCCTACGCAATATTACAAGTAAAATACGCAAAGTGAAAAACTGGAAATGGGTATACCTCCAGCTTTTGTGTATTTTTTTTTTTTTTCATTTTCATAGCGTATAATATCGACGGTGGTATTGCACCCGGAACGTACTTTAAAAAAAAAAAAAAAAAAAAAAACAATTCCAAAACAAATAAATACGAATTAGGAAGATCGATTCTTTGGTTTAAAAACCGATAGCTATACAACTACATGCACGTACGCTCTGTCGAATACTTCGCACGCGAGTCACATTTGGAGCTCTTGCGTCTTTACGACTGTTTATAGAAGAAAAGCACTCTTAAAAGGGCACAAATAGCAGTGGAAGAAAAGAGCAAAAAAAAAAAAAAAAAAAAAAAAATACGATCGGCGAGTTGTCTTTGATGTGCCTCGGCTGTTCCTAGCATACCTATGTACTACATGTATGCAGAGGATCAAGAGCCGCGTGCAATTTCCGGATAACGAGATGGACAGCTCGCATATTAGTCGACGGAGCTGCAGAGTGGACGTATACGTAGGTAGATGGACGATAAACATGTAAATGATTTTTTTTTTTCCATCAATCGAAAGAAATGACAAACTATTTAAAAATACTCGAGAGGCATGGACAAGCCAGTGATAAGTATCAGTTTGAACTCCAGTGAAACGAAAAACTTATTTATTTTTGTAACGCAAAAAAAAATAAAACGTTAACGTAAGTAAAAATGAAGTCTATAGTGGCTCGTTCGTGACAGCACCCGAGATACACCGGAGCGCTATAGGCTATATTGCAAAGCACGATTGCCACGTATAGTGGAATATTTGATTGCCATTTGATTGTAATGCACATGCACCCCGTTTTATTTTTCCTCTCTTGTTTCCATAACGAAACTGGCACACACCGGTCGATATATACGCCCGCAATTCGGTAGTAAGTTTACAATTACAACATCCAATCGTATCGTATAGGCATGACATGTACAGTATTATATAGATTGCAGGGCATCAGCGCTGAAATGAGATTATTACCGCTCGTTTTGTTTCCCAATGTGCATATAAATATACATGTACCTACACCTACCTCGAATGCTACATTGAAAATCGATGGATGCGCTCACTCGAATGAAATTCCGATACAGAGGGTGATATCAATGAGCTACTGTACCCGCGCGGATGGAAAAGTCGAAACATCATGGACGGACAAGTATCAAGTCGGTCATCCGCGCGCTCCGAACAAGAGGGAAAACCGAGCGCAAATAGAGGTAGACTCGGTTGGCCGTGGTCACGTGCAATTTCCCCACAAATGCATCGGTCCGCCGGGGTAGGAGGAGGTATGCACAAGTTGCGGCGCGCGAGAGCGAGAGTGCGCGCCCGGACGTACGATCCAAAGAGTGGGGCCCCCAAACCCGACCTATTCCCGAAAAGGGGGGGCGGTGGGGAGCAGTCGATAAGCCGGGAGGAGAAAGGGGGACCCCGGGCATTCGAGAGTCGCTGCCGAACACCACGTCCGATACACCTCCTCCACGACCACGGTGGGCCCGTTCAGTCGGTAGCGCGTGATACCCACGAGCAGCTCTGCCGTCGACGCTCTTCCCCAACGCGCGGACACCCACGGAGACAAACTTGTGCCGTACACTCGTGAGCGGCCAAGTCACCGGAGGGATGCGGCTCGCGGAGGGTGCCGAACCACACGCGCCCCGAGACACTGCATTTAGCCAGCACGCGAAAATATTATTATTGGCCGGTGCGCGGTGTCAGCGAAACAGCAGGTGAATGGCAGTTGCCAGTCCGAGAGTCGTTGGAGCCGCGGGAACGAGATAAGCCGCGAGGCTGCAGTGAGAGGTGAGCCGGCGAGTCGACAGCGCGACCAGCACGGCCCAATATTTCACCCATACCGAAAAAAGTTGCGCGTAAACGAGCGAGCGGAGAGATGGCACGATTCCAGGGGACGGTGTTGTTGTTGTTGCTGCTGTTGTCTTCGTGGTCGAGAGTCGACGAGTGCGGGGCCGCGGAGTCGAACATCCTGAGGCTGAGCAAGCCAAGGGCCACCCCGCCCACGGACAGCGGGGGCGAGGAGAAACAAGGGGGAGGCCGGGCCGAGTTCAGCAAGAACAACCCCGAGCTCGACTGGAAGACCCAGCTGATGCGGGTGGCTGAGCAGGAGGAGCGGACGCGCCAGCAGGAGCTCGACCTCGACTTTACGCGCGACAAGCTCGAGAGGAATCCCAACAGCGTCCAGTGGCTCGCCGACCTCTACGACCCCCTCAGGTGGACCAAGGTGCCGGGGAACGTGAGCAACGAGTGTCGCGCCGACCTCACGCTGTTCTTGGGGGACCTCCGCCTTGGACGGCTCTGGGCGGCCAAGCGTGAGTTTTTTTTTTTCCGTCCTTCGGGCCCAGCCAAATCAATAACATTTACGTCCCTTGAAACGGGGGGGGGGGGACATTGGTATTTTGTAACTTATAAGCCGAGTTGGTGCGCTGCACGAGGTTTCATCGATTTCGAAACTGGCCGGACTGCGGTCCGCGCTCGGTTGAGAAAAGAGAGAAAAAAAAAAAAAAAACGCACCTGCAGCTGCAAACTCGCTTTTACCGGTCACGGATGACGGGCCGTGCAAAGTATCGGCGCCCATTACCCATACGTATACACAACGAGTGTAATAAAAGCCGCGAAACATTACCTCGCACCCATCATTATCAATCTCTGTTGCGCATATACGGTGTATCATTTGCACGCACCTGCAATTTGGCAACTTTGTGTTATTCACTTCAGAAATCTGCACACTGCATGTGATCCAACGCGGATCTTAAAGCAAAAAGGTTGGTTTTTTTCTTTTTTGTACGCCCACACGATCCGAGCGAGCGGCAGCCCGTCAGTGTATAGGTAGTTACATGTATAATATATATATATATATATATATATATACATATATATGCACACGGACAATTAAAGGCAGAAAGGAGAATCGATTTCACTCTCGCGACGCAACTCTGAGAAAGCGCCTTAAAATCAAGTTTGGCGCGTTGCACGCATGCAGCGTATATCGCGCGCAGGTGGAACTGCACTCTGTGTTATACACACACACACACATGCGTATTGGTGGGCATGTATAAATGTGTACGTGGTCGAGAAAATTGGGACTCATCTCCGCGGGTGCATCACACGCTGCGATGAACATCAGCCTTCGGCGCGTAGAAAGCAAAAGTGCATCTCCGCGCCACCACCCAGCCTTTCTCTCTCTCTCTCTCCGAGCCTCTTTACGACCAGCCGACTGCTCATTGATTTGCAATTCCCTCGCCCGTTTACTCGTATATATATATATACGTATTATATATACCCACACGTGTACTAATTGCTCTCTCTCTCTCTCTCTCTCGGATTATTGTGCAAAGCTCGAGTGCGTGCCTTTTTTTTCCCTACATATTTTTTCGCGCTAATGACCTGCCGCTGCTGCAACTCTAACGTTGTGTTTTTAATCATCGACTCGTGCAACGACTTGAAAAACCGATGGATTTGTTATTTTATCTTTTTTGACTACAGTACGGGTATATTAAAATTAGCCCCCTATTTTAGGCGAAGCGTCTACCAGAGAGGGATGCCGGGGGTCGCGCAAACTTCCGCTTCTATTGCGTTACGAAAGCCACACCGACGATGGCTGCGCATATCGCGTTTGGCGAATATTGTGTCAGAGAGCGAGAGAGTTGCGGACCCCCTGTGCAATATAATTGCGCTGTGCGCGCCATTACGAAAGTTATACCCACACCTTGCGCGCCGAGAGAGCTTCCAGACGCGCTTAATTTTTAGGCGACCCACTTGATATTTTTTTTTTTTTTTTTTTTTTGTTTCACCTTTCGCGACCTCCTTTTTCAAGATCGCGCACCTCCCGGGGTCTTCCGGTTCTACACGTTGGTTTGCGAAAGTCCGCTGTGGTCGCGAAGCCGCGGAAAACTACGTGCGATGGTTCTCGCAATATTTGCGGCCGTGCTCGAAACGACGGCGCCTCTATTAATTCGCCAAAGACTCGGAGGGACGCGTAAACATATATATATGTATTCTCGTTGAGCGTAAAAATCCTACTTGGCACACCCTCGCCGTAAATCGCGTGCGGACCGATTTTTCCCGGCGCATCTTGCGCTAATCGTCAGCCTCACGCGCGCAAGTCGTTAAATTCGCCGGGGATGTGTGTACACGGGCTGTAAATAACCCCCACGCGAAATTGAGACTTTAAAAGTTACGCAATGGACGTACCTATATGTATACCTTGTAAATAACTTTCTCCGTGTGTGTGTATATATATATATGATGCTGCACGCGTGTACATAATACGCGCTGGCGAGCTGTGTAGTACTGTAATCCTTTCTTTTTCTTTCCCGGCTTTTCGATAAATACACTCGTAACAGAAAAATTTCCAGCCGGTCAGAACATACGCATTTGCGCTGGCGCACGTGTGCATAATGGTACTTTACGAGGGAGCCGATAAAAATTACGTCCTCGCTGCTGTGTAAAATCAGTTATTCAACGAGGGTTGCAGAAGCAGCGACCCGAGAGTGCATAATATATATTATACGCTTTCATCGCATTGGTATCGGGCAAAAAGTGGTCCGTAGGTACCGGCGCGTCTCTCGAAGCCGAGGAGTGAGAAAATCGAGAGGGAAGTGGAAAAAAAAAAAAAAAAAAAAGAAAGAGCGACGCCCACGGGGTCTGCTAATAACTTTTCACAGTAGGAGAAACTGTGCGAGGTGTCGTCGGCAGCGGCAGACCCTCGGCAAAATTGCACTTTCTACTCGCACTTGCGCAACCTGGCAATGAACCTCCACCTCGCCGCGGCTTGCCGGTCAAGCGCCCGTGTATGTGTGCCTTCCCAAACATATTTTTCCCACCACGCGGCCGGAGACAGCTCGCTCGCATAAATATGTGTTTGCTCGATGGTGATGGCTGCACAACAACTGCCAATGTTAAGGTCGGCAGAGCCCATTGTGCCCCAAGTTTACAAGTTTATTGCTGTTAACTGCACCTTGTACACTACGTCGGCTCAGGGTGAAAAATCAACATTTTTGACTACTTTTGTGTTTTTACACTTTACTCGGATGAACACAATATCTCAAACGGGAATCAAAGTGGGCTAAAATACTTGTTAACATGCGATTAAGGCGTTACGATGGAATTAATCCTTTTTTTGTATAATTCATATCGTAAAGGCTAGCAAGTGTTTGAAAATGATTGCATTAAATAATGATTCGTGGTATTAAATTGTGTTCAATCAATTCTGATCTAAGATAAAATGGAACTTTTTTTTTTTTTGACAAATGAAACACCAAATTGGTCAAGACAAGCACATAATTGTTGTACTTAGGCATATGTATAGGTACTTTATATATGAAGACTTTGTGCAGTATTTATTGACCACATCGGAATATTACAAAGTAAGAGGTTCTTGTTCTTTTTTTATTGTAAAAGACTAAAATTGTTCCTAAAATAATAACGTATGTGCTACCTAATGATTGCTTATTGTTCAACTTGAAGCACTTGCTCATGAATAGTTTCATTGTACATTTTACGAACGAGCATACTGTAGGATGGGCTCACGGTATAAACGCGCGAAAATTGCACCGTAAACACCGCGCAGGGAAAAAAAAGAAAAAAAGAAAAAAAAAAAAAAAACCAATTGCCGTCGTATCAAAAAACAATAAATAACCAAACAACTTTATCTCGCGAGGGATAAAAAAAAAAAGGTATAGCCATAGCGCTCGCATCCAGGAAATCGTAGACAGCAGTACCCTCGCTTCCCGGCTCGTCGTTCTCACACACGCAGCCGGCCGGAATTGGCTCCCAGTGCATCAGGTGCCTTGCACGCCCGTAACTCCCAGTGCCAATATGTGTGTATACCCGTACACGTACAAGGCGCACGGCTATGATGCACGAGCTCGGGGGGGTCCACGATCCAACGCGGCAATGGGGGTGCAGGTAACTATATAATATAGACCTGCTCGCACGGGCTGCGTTTATTTGCGTGCCTACTTACCGCGTTGCTTGTATATATATATACACATGTGTATTGCACATCCATTGCCGCGCGCCTTCCTCTTCCCATATCCCGCGGATGCACGCGAAAATTTCGCACGGCAGAACTACCGCGATGCGGAAGCGGCTGTGGTTTATCTCTCCTCTCTTCCTTCATCGCTCCGATGATCCCCTGAATCCGTGCGGATAAGGTCAAATGGATCGAGGAATAAGAAACAAGGAGATACGCGTATCGCCGCTGATATCAGCCTTCCCTTGCTATTGCTAATTAAACGTCTGAACCCCACCCCCTTCTGCGCTTCCCAGAACAATGTCCGGCAATTTTGCGGACCGCGTGGCTCGATAATTCGCTCGTTACCCGCTCCCGCCGATCGATCATTTATTATGGAAAAAAAAGGCGAAATCCCCCCCCCCCTCCCAATGTAGGCGTACATACTATACGCGACTTCAGATGCAGCGCTCACAGCCTACTGTCTTAATTACATTTACGCGGAAAGCCCCGGTCATTAGACCTCGGTATACATATAATATTGAGCAATCGGTCTCGTTAGGGCGGGTAATAAGCGATTGTGATCGCGGATGCTTGCACAACTATTTTTTTTTGCTTAACCACGAGTGCGCCGACAGCTATATGCGTACACAGCGTAACACACATGCAAACTCGGGCAGCGACTCTTGATGTAACGCGTAATCCCGTTTGGGCGCGCTCGTTTAGATTGTTCATCGGGGGTATACATATATATCGACCCACTGTAGCTCGAACTGGTTGCACTCGGTGATATGGCGTTCTCGAGTACCCTCGTTTATTTATATATATATATATATATATACGTGCCAGCGTAATTACGGGCACAAGTGCCATTACGAGATTCCTGAATCTTTGGCCGTTGTAATATGTATATATATACCTTTGACAATTTGTTACATATATATATATACATATATAATATGCCGACGAGCAGGAGAAGCGCGTTAGTTGCTGTAACGATAATATCCTCTGGGGAGCCAATGGTGTACCAAAGAATCGGGGTAATGCTCGTACAGGTGCAGCACACAAAACAGATCGGAGCTTGAGCACATACACTATAGCTACATTATATGTTTTTCCGCTTGTTACAGTGTCGGACGCGAGCGGCAGGTACTCGTCGCAGTACTACTTCGGGAACGGGTTCTGGCTGGGCTCCAGTACCCTGTGCCGGGAGCTCAACGGCACGGGGCTCCGGTCCTCGGTGCGCAGCTCCGGCCTCAACGACAGCTTGCCCTTCCTCGTCCAGTTCCACGTGGCCAGGATGTTCTTCCGGCTGCCCAGCGACATCGAGACATCGGTAAGACATAAGCTAATTCTCCGGTGTATACATTGCACTCTGAAACTCTCATTGTTTAGCTGCGAGGGAAAATCGGTCCACATTGTTGCTACGTACGGGGAAAATATCATCGCGCGCCGACATGTGATGGGTACGATGACGCCCATATCGAGGCCGCGGACCTGTAATTTTGATATACCGATCGGAGTGAACGGCGACTAGCGCGATATTGAGCAACCTTAGCAAATTAACCCATCGATGGCTATACAATGTACCATTTTTTTTTTTGCAATCGACTTTGGTATCGGTGGAAAATGGGAAATCCCGCTGCTGTCGTATACCTATACGCGTTACGCAATCGCTCGTGCATGATGAACATTCACTCGCGATTTTTTTTTTCCAAACTATCGAGTGGAATCAACTTTTGTGAGAAAAGGTCGCAAAGTAATTGTGCATCGATCAAAATTTTTTTTTCGCCGCCTTATTCTCCCGAGCGAGGAAAATTCGAGGAGCTGCTGGTATCTTCTCGCGCGAAATGGAAGCATGATGCATCGAGCACATTTTTCCAAAGCCGCTCCCCTGGAAACGCCGATACCCGATTTATCAGTCGGCCCTGAAAAACCCACCTATATATATATATACACATTGCCTTGGGGGAACCCCCATTAGGTGCAACTGCTCGAGTATTCTCGTCACACTTATGTGCAAAAAAAAAAAAAAACAACAAATGTATAGGTATCACGGAAACCAAAAGTTTCCATCCTCTATCGTGTGAAACACGCCGTCGATCGCAAAAACGCGAGGCCCTTATTTTCATGCATCTCCGCCGAGGTTGTTTCGTAGAGAAGAAAAAGATCCAAGCAATGTTGTTTTTTTTTGTATCCTACGACGAGGTAAACGTAGCAGAGCGTCTTCCGTAAAATTACCCGCACGCAGTACTCGAGAGCCCCGGTGTAGATGCGCTCCCTCGATAATCATATACGTTTCACGGAACAACTCAATCGAGTGTAAATAAAAGAAGAAAAAAAAAGTCACAAAAGATTGCGCGGGTAGTATTAGCAAAGAGCGCGCAGTGTAAACATGGGAACATGCGTGTGTACGTTATATACCTACCTGCATCAAGGAAATTTATCTCGAGCGATAGAGTGGATTACACTTTCTTCGGCGAGAGGCTCGAGAGCCGAGTGTATACACAAATGACGAAATCCAAAGGGAAATTGCTCGGAGTGGCGCGTCGTTACGCGAGACTTTTTTTTTTTTTCCTTCGACATATATACAGCAGCATCGCGGTCCACTCTCGTGCAATGCCGGAGAAACGTTGTTCCTTCCCCTCGGCGTTGTCCGCGAGGGGCATAAATTACGCGCATTACGTCGGCGTTGCGCAATAACCCGAAGGCGCGCACGCACGCGATTGCGGGAGCAAACGCAGATGTTGACTTTTTTTTTCGATCATTTACCTCTCTTCCTCGAACACGGCACTAAAACCCGTTGCAAAGAAAGGATTTTCTCTTTCCTGCCACGTAGGTCTTTCGCGGCTCTCCGACGCTCGTTTGCTCGCCCGATCGAGTAATTGCCGGGACTATGCAGCAAAAATCCAACCGAACCCGGTGATGGGCGTCCCTCCCGCCTATTATATGTACCAGAGCCCCGCGATCCGCTCCTAATCTATTTTTTCCTTCGTCCACATCCTGCCGTGCCGTGTTGTGTCACTCCGCTGCTTGTATATTATATGCAGTGTAGGTATAATGAACGCCGTTGGGAAAGCATCACTTGTACTTAATTTCTCTTGTTTTTCCCCGCTAATGCACTCATATCGTTTAATTTCGCGCTTTGATACACGTGCAATTTTCCGCTCTTTCCGCGCACGCACCTAGTGCGCGCTTTTGTTCGCGCTTCCCAAATTGTTTTTCTCAATATATTTACTTTTCGAAAGCGTCCCCCTCGACGACGACAATATTGACTGCCGCGCTGACGCGGGTCCTCGTCTCGGATAATATTTCGTTTCCCGTTTTACGTTGCTCAAACTTTCAACCCCGTCATGCCCCAAGGAATTTTCCCGAATCGCGGATCAATCGATCGGCTCCGCCATATTTCTCCCCTTGCCCCGTTTCGTGAGCTAATTGCGCAGTTCTTTCATTGCCATTTAACCGATAACCTTCCGAAGGAACTCGCTTACCCACGAAACTTTTTTTTTCTTTCTGCGAAGCGGCGGTCAATTATTTCCCCCCCTTGGAAAATTATTTCAAAAGTTGCGAAACTCCTTCGGCTAATTGTTATCGCAGGCCATGCTTTTTTTTCAAAATTTGCAGATATATATATATATATCGTAGCCCTTCCCTTTGTACATTTCTCGGCGGAGAGCGAGTGGCTTCAATAGCAGCGCCAACTTTCCGCTTCATTTATAACATAAACGGGGGGTACATGTACGAAGAGGAAGCGCAGGCCCCGACGGCACATACCGAGGCGACCTCGCGCGCGCCCGGAATACACCCCGAGAGACAGACAAACGACCCCCGGGATAATGCACGGCACTCGTGCATCCTTCCCTCGCTCCCATGTCGCGCATGCCGTATATTATATATATAGCGTGCGTTTTGTGACGTTTTCAGACGAGGCAGGTGTTCATCGGGCTGTGCCTGCCGAGCACGTGCGACCGCTCGTCCGTCAAGTCGCTGTTGCGGGCGTGCGCCGACAGGGTCGAGCGCCAAGGCGAGTCGACCCACCGCTCCGAGGGCCCCAAGATACACATCGTCCAGGTGAGGCGGGTCCCCTCCACCGACTACTCGCCCTGGGACGATACCAAGTTCTACGCCCTCGCGTAAGTACATCGCATTTTTATTACTTTTTATACACACAACCCCTTACCACTCTAGATATATATGTATACATCGGTTGTTTCGAGTGCTCGTTCGGTCCGTCGTGAGGGAAAATAAGTCGGATTCAACGAGAGCCAAAGTGTGTCAGTCGAGATTTCGACTATAATTGCTCTGCTGAGCACTTGAACTCCCCTGCGAGTCATTATTTGCTGCGCGCGAGATAACTAGAGGAAAAAAAAAGCAAAAGTGTGAGTGCGGAGGAACGATGTTTCTTCTTTTTTTTTTTTTTTCACTCGGTGGAATGAGAAATACAATAAAGACGGCGTGGAAAAAAAAAAGGGGAAAAACAATTCCAATCCGAGAGAATGAGGCGCGACGCGGTGAATAACACCTGTACGCCCCCCTCTCCCAGGAGGGGCGCTAATGAATCGATGGGGCGTTGTAGCGGAAGTTTTTATCGCGAGCGACTTTCCTATAAAAAGAAAAGCAACCATCAGCGAAGCGAGCCCGCGCGATGCAAGAGACTCGTTAGATGTGTCGCGGGGCTATTAACACCAAGGAGGACTGGAGGGGGGGCGATCGCGTAACGCGACTCGCACGCACGTACACATAAGTATACACGGCCCCCGTGGAAATTCCAAAGTCGATCTTCACGTAATATTCGAGTATCGAATTTGCGGAAGGAGAAACTTTCTTTTCGCGCCGAGCCATTGCGCAAGGCCCCGGCTGCATAATGCACACGTGCGTTCGGTATACGCGAGCCGAAAATTTTTTACCCCCTCCCCTTCGTTGTTCGTTTGGTCTTGTTTTTGCCAGATTGTACACATATACGTGGGTATAAAGTGCGCTGTCGTCGCCCCGGCTCCACTTGGCCGCGTAACGGGTTACGCGCCCGGAGCGACTGCCCGTTTCCGCGTATTAAATTTATTCGACGCCTCGTCTCCTCCTCTTTTCCCTCGCTTCTGCACTCTCGCGCGTTAGTCATTGAGATAAGTTTATAGAAAACTAATGGCTCTCGCCTATTAATTTATCCGCGCCCGTATTATATCCTCATCGGGTACCTTTATTTATTTATTTTTTTTTTTTTGGAATAAGAGCGGAAACTCTTTATCGTTGCAAAATTTGCAGAGGGGGAGAAACCGCGAGAGTTTGTACAATTAAATGTGGCGAAATAGCCAGTAATATAGGAGGACCGATGACGCGCCTAGCGCGAAAAAAAAAAAACAAATGGCTAATGCGTCTCTCGCAATTTGGCACCGCGACGAACGGCGCAATTCACGGCACGCGCCTCATCTTTTTTTCGCGCGGCCCCGTTACAGGTGTGTTATTAAGCGCGCAGCAACAGAAACGCGAGAGTCGTTGCGCTTGGCCCCTAATTTCAGTCCGTCGTCAGGGTGTTTACGATGGGCTGTGCCGCTCGTTACCGGATTCGCGATCCACGCCGAGTAATGAGATTAATTGAGCCAAGGGTGTAGGTATACATTATACGTAACGAGCCTCGTTGGTACACGAGTTTATTTAACGACTCGCGTGCCCCGAGATTCGAGCTTTCATTCCTATATATAATGATTATATATACGTATACCCATATCCATGCACTCGAGCGCATAGGCTATATATACTTGGGAGACTCTGAAATTTAAATTCGAAAGCTGCACAACCTTTGCAAGCGATTTTCTCCGTGTGGTTCGAGTAAAAGTCAACACCCGCCACTCGTATTAATAGATGTATAGCGTAAGCTCTCGTTGGACGGAAATAACGTCGATTTGATGTCTCTTCCTCTTGAGCAACTATACCAACGTCTCGGTGGGGATTCACACACATGCAACCTGATGCAACAACAGCGCCCAGTTGTGTCTTTCTTTCGACCCATCAGGTGTGCACATAAACTTGCGTTGTATGTATACTTGTAAATCATTGCGGGACGCCTCGCTGGAAAAGTGTTGGAGCAGCTGCGTGTCCTTTTGCAATCGACTTGCAAGCGTGTGTATACATACGCGGCTCCCGCGTCTGTGCGGTGGCAGAGGGTAATATCATGATGGTCACGCAACGACCGACCGCTCACCGGCGATAAATGAATTCAACGATGCGCGCTGCACATCGCGCTCACCCGGATCGCCTTGATACACGAGCAGAGACTTTTGCAATACAGGCGACTTTTCTTTTTTTTTTTTTTTTTTTTTTTTTTTTTTTTTTTTTTTTTTTTTTTTTTTTTTTTTTNTTTTTTTTTTTTAACGCCGTTGCTCAACGACGCACACGCGGCCAATCGGTTTTCCACTCGAAGCGGCCTGGACGCGAAATTAGAAAGGAATTGGAGGCCAACGCGTTTAGTTGGGTCAAAACTGAGATACCCGTGGTAAATTGCCCCACACATGCATTTACACAGATGGAGCCTTGTGGCAGATGGTGTAGCCCGAGCACTTTGCAATTAATCAGAGCCCCGGCTCGTGATGCAAGTCGGTGGTAGGTATATTTCACTTTTGAACTCGACTCTGATGGGCGAGCAAAACAATTTGGCAGTGGGCATCGTTGGAACGCAAAAGGAGCAAACAGAGAGGGGGGGGGGAGAACGCTTCTCTATGGGTAATTAATGCCCCTCCGCGCCAGACGAGTCACAACCCACTCGAAGTAAGAGGCCTAGATTTCGCGGTGGCCGAGCGAACCCCCCCTGGAAGTTCTTGGCACTTATTGTGCAGAGCTGCAATTCTCGAGTCTTCAAAAAAAAACCATTGCTCGACAAATGCCCACATTACCTTGATTAATTAATTTCCTTTTTTTTTTTTTTCATATCAAACATGGAATAAACTTTGGTGAAACCTTTGAAATGATAACTTTGATCGCAATTGAAACTCACAGAGCGAACTATACGCATATACCAAAACTTGGCACAAATTAACTTGCAGCCAAATGTAAAATGAAATTTCCATTCGTAAGGAATGTATACCTATAGCAAAAGTAATAGTAAGATTTTCGTTGGCTCCCTTACTGAAAAATCCAAATATTCGAGCAAAAGAAAAGGATATTGTCCCTCTTTTTTTTTTTTCCTGTAATAGATGGCACTTGCGCTTAAAAACGAAAAGTGACCATCAGCCGATAAGATTCAGAGAGCTGCTCAAGCCCAAGTGTCCCCTGTTGCACCGCGGAACCGGCTTCCCGATGAGAGGGTCAAGCACCTCAGGTTCGCGTTGCTAATTAAGCCGATGCAATTATCACACTCGCCACGGCGTCACGAGCAAGCACCTCTCGTCTCCCACGCTCGGGGCTCGTCGCAGTGTGTCCACCGCGTTGTTGTATACCGATCACGACCGACAACGGCCATCAGTGCTGGGGCAGGACCATCATTCTTTCTCTCCGTCTCCTATTCTTCCTTTCCCAGACACAGCCGTGCAATTGTGAAGCAAAGCAGCGAGAATCGGTTCTAAAATTAGACGCGCCTTGATTTATACGGGCGCGAGATCGAGAGCATCGTCCCTTCTACATCTACCCGTGCACCAGAGCGCCCTGCTTTCGGGAGATGAATCCCCGCCGATAAACGGTCCCACTGTATAACCACTGGACTCGGAGATGCACGTATATGCCCGCCATCCGGCCAACTTTCTGGCCATTGTACAGCAGAGAGGAAGGAGCTCTCTCGGATCGATTCCCAGCCTTGGCTGCTCTCTCGAGGCAAAACTTCCCGGGCAAGGAGTGAAAAAATTTTTTTTTTTCTTCTCCTCTTCTATACCTTTGTGAGCAGCTGGTACACTTATATCCCTACATCACCAATCATTGGATGGGCTTATTGGGCCAAGTGGCGGGTGTAACTCGCGGGATGGGGCGAGTCTTGGCAGTCGGCTATTACGCCCAAGGGGGTTGGCAAGTGACCCGATTCGATTGAGAATGTCTCGAGTTCCACGGGCGACTGTCACGCTTATTCGCCCCCAAAGTTTCGGGGGCTGGAAAGTTTTCGAGCCACCCGCTCGTTGTTAATTAAATTGTGTTGAACACCGCGTGGCACGGGATCACTCGGGAACTATTTTGCCGGAATCTTTTCGTAACTCGATCGTTAATATCATTTTTTTTTTTTTTTTCGTTCCACCAGTGGCATTTGGCATTCGTTTGGTCGTTTATTTTGACTCAGCTTTAAGAGGCTCATGTATTCTTGCACCTGTAATTTTGGGCGTTAAAAAACAAAAAGTCGTAAACGATTACACGCGTGCAATCCTTATTATCCATTGTCATGTATTTCGTCACTATATTATAACGCGAGGCGAGGCGGATCGCTCCATTTGTTATTACTGCCCACATCAGCGCGGTTGCGGCGCAGGTATATACACAGCGACTTAACGCTGGATTTCACCAAAGTGGCTGTATACGAGCACATAAATTAACGCAATCGTAAAGCACATTGTTACACGAGAGACGCCTGTGGCTGTTAGATAACTCCGGTATATTATGCACCTCGCGCGCAAGTGTGGGTTTTTGGGTGCGATTCAACGCGTTTTCGAGTCGTTGTTTTGCGAGCTATTTGAGCTTAAGGTGTAAGTGAGGCATAACTACATTACAGGCTCTTCAACTTGGACTGCGTCCGCCGATTGCGAAATAAGTACCGTTTCTTTCCAGTTTTACGATCGGCGGAATATTTTTCGCTCCGTACGGGCACCTGGTTTAATTACCCTCCCGACTGTGGCTTTGATCGCGCAATAATGAAAATCACGGGTATATCTCGTGTATACAATGATTATTGAATGTACCAACTAAAAAAACACGGTATATACAATGCTCACGTAAGATTTTGTAGCTGACGCACAGACGTGATAATCGTAACGAAGAGTATACATATAAATATAATCTGTTAATCGTAAACATGTGGACTCTATACAATCTCGCAAAAAAATGTCCCATTAAATTGAACTACGGTGAAAGTAAAAGCAGCGTTGGATTTCCTCTTAAAAATAACACGTACACGAGTTTCCATTTGATCCCCCGTCTCTCGCATGTATTTGTTGCCCCTTGTTTTGTTTGATTAAATTAAGCGGCCCAAGTATAGGTACATCCTCGACGCGGTCTCGTGTATCGCTTATAGACGCAAGAGAGAGAGAGGCGATCGGGTAAAAAATCTCTCTATCGGCGAGTGACACCGAACGAACGCGATGCTCGTCCCCCGTCCATCTGTTTACGCCCGTATTATACCGTGCCTCTGTGCAATGTGGCAAAGGTCCTTGCACGGGTTACAGGGAAGCCTCTTAGCTCGGTAGCACCGTACAACACAGGTATCGCATACATACATTTTCGATACAGCAACGAATTTGCATATATAAGTACGCATGCACGCGCAACCGTGTTGTACGTACACGGGCACAGGCGCTATAAGAGCTGTCTGAATATTACGCAAGCTCGGTACACGTATCTATATATACGCTAGCTATGCTGTACCTACGTGTATTCGCGTATATCGCGCCGTGTCCGCCTCTGTCGTGAAAGTGCGCGCATATCAAGTGCATTCCGGCCAAGCATCCCATTAGTGCGGCATACCCGTTTACACATCCTACGTGCGCGCCGTAATATCGTGTCCGAGGGGTATGGGTGCCCTCGCTGCCCCTCGCTATAACGTAAGATACGATTTCGGGGCTACGTGGGAGTAGATTTTCCCGTGTACGGAGGGCTCTGGTGTTATCCACGAGCGGCCCGATTGGAACTTGGCCCGCAAGTCTTTCTCGACTGGTACACCGTGATTTCCCCCTCCCCCCCAGCCTCCTCCGAATCGTAACGACGTTTTATTCCGCCCTGCTTGAGCGGATCGAGGTTTTTGCCCGCGACTCGAGCACTGCAAATCACGTCGAAATATAAAAAAATATATCCAATCGGTAAGGCCCATACGCTCCTTGTCTTGCACTCCCATACCTAATTGGATGTGTGTTTTTTCACCCCTTTGGGAATAATACATTGCTTTGATACTCGGACAATTTCACCAGAACTTGAAACTCGCACTTGTTCCGTAAAGTTTCCAACAACTAAAAAGTAGTAGCCCATATATATGTACCAAAGATTCGACGAAACGATAAGAGTTTGAGGAAACAAAAAAAAAGAAGTTTAAAATTAAAATCTTCCGCTGCTCTGCATAGCGCGAAAAGTTTTGATATCGACTCTGGCAACGCGAGTTCTTCCCGCGTCTGTATATATCCCGGTATCAAAATTTTTCCCGGCAAACAACTCTTCTCTCTCCCCCTCTCGATTCGGGTCAACATGTACAGAGCTTGATTCGTTTGGATATCGTCCAAATACTTTGCGCGCCCCCGTACACGTACGAGACCGTCTGGAATGCAAATAACACCCCCGACCTCGGAAAAACATTGGCCGAAAATTGCGAGCTGCTTCAATGAGCGGTGCAGCAAAAAAAAAAACTTCACCCCTTTTTTTTTTTGCCACGGCGCAATCGAATGGAAACGCATCAGCACTGAATAACGCATTCGACAATTTTTGACGGCAAATCAGAGTTTCATCGGCAACAGCAGTAATGATTGTTTGCAAAGACGAAGCTGACAAGAAAAGCGATCCCATGGTAGGGGCGACTCGAGCAGTGCTAATTGCTCCTGTCCTCCCTCGGTCGCGATCACTTTCGCTCTCTCTCCTCTCGAGCACTACCCCTCGGGTACACCAAGCCACTCGGTCCTGGAGCTTCCCGCGCTATCCCTCCCGATATGTATACCAGCGCGGGGTTATGCACAGTCGATTTACCGTTTAATCGGGGAGAGAAAAAGGACTCACGTTTTCTCCCTTGAACAAAAATCTGGCCATTGTTGTTATTGCACCGCGCGGTGCTCGGTGAATTGGGATAACGGCATAATATACTGTCGCGCTCTCGTCCATCGATTGTTGTTCCCTCGTGCCGGCCTACATTCGCAAAGTAATCGTGATCGCCGACCAAAGAGCGTATCACTGTCAAATTGCCATACAATTTTGTTTCGCGGTTTTCCTCCTTTTTTATTTTTGTCTTTCTCTATGAAATAAAACATTTAACCACAATAAGCCGATCCCGAGGTAGAAAATAAGGAGGTACATGTACGGGATGGAGTTAATCGAGAGGGGAAAATTCGTGCGATTGGGAGGCCGAGTTTAAAACGAGAAAATCACCGCAAGGAGGAGAAACGAGGGAATGTATAAAAATGTATATATCCTCGAGCCTAATAAGCTCCAAGCGGCCTTAACCGATAAGCGAAACCGACCGCACCTCACGGGAGGCACCATCACCTGCGTCGGAGAAAGGAAGGGAAAAATACCGCAGGCTCCAACCTCGGCCGGAAGCGATGATGGGCAATGAGATACATCGCGCCGATTCGCGCACACGCCCACGTATACGCGGGAGATCTGTTATCTATCTCCCTCGGATTTTCGCGTTTCTTCTCCGTTTTACAGCTACGCGCCTTGGAGGGCCTCAGGGGGATTTAGCGGGTGGGTGCGTGGCTCTGCCATCAGTCGGGAAACAATCGATCGATGTACCCGCGATGTACGAAAGATCCCGTCGCGATGGAATTTTTTCCACGACAACGCAGAGGTTCATCGACACTTTTCCGGACGGGGGATCACTAAATGTTGTATACACACGCATGCGTAAAGTCACCGTTACGGGGCAACAAGTGCCATCATCTCGAGAGCGCGGCCGAACAATCAAGTGTATGTTTGTTATCGCGAGCTGGGAGGCCTGGGTCGGCAACTTTAGTCGATAAACGTAGTAGCGGCCGAGCGATGCATCGGCCTGTATTGCGTATATACGCTCGGAATTGATGACACCGCGAGTTTTTGCGTTTTCAAAGTATATACGTCGCTCCCTTATCCGCGAGGGAGACGCATCAGGGGCGAGTGCGGGTATCGGTCTAATTGCAGCCTCGGTTCATTAGCAGGTAATAAATAACCGGTTGGCTGGCGCCTTTTTCTTCCAAACCCCAAGAAATCCGCTTATCTCCGATAATCTAGTGTTGCATGCGGGGTATCGCTTCCCCCCCACCTGTGATCCCCGCGAGCGCTAATTGAACACGAGTGTGCGCTGGAAAAATTTTTCCTCTCCCGCGTCCACAGATAAATATATGTGTGCATGCTCGCACGCGTGAGCGCCCGCGCAAAGTATAAATTGGATCGATACATATGGGCTCGCGGGAGTATATGGGATGCGAGGGGGAGAAAGAAAAAAAAAAACATCGCACGCGTATGCCGTTATTTAAGTGAATTCCCGGTGTCGGAGCCAGTGCGCATATTAAGTATGTTTCTCTGCATTTTTAACTACCCCGTTATTCTTTTAAGAATAGCTATACTTTTTCTCTGGGCTGTCGCTCGCCTCGGTGGCTCCGCCAGTATAGGTGTATACCTGCTCGTCGTATATAGTCTGCCGTTTCTGGACCATTCGCACGTAGTTTTCGGGCTCGGCGGCAGGGACATTTCGCGATCCATTATTCACGCGGCTTTCGCACGCTTTTCATCATTATTTATATGGGTCGCGGCCCAACTCCGACGGGGATTGTTCTCGTCTCGTCTTGCGAGTCGAAAATGTTCCATTTGTTTGATGGAAATGAAAAATTAATCGGTTTAAAAAAAAAAGGGTTAACAAAGGGGCTTGGTTAAAAATATGTCCAGGGGCGTGAGCGGCGTGACGCTGTTCCTGATGATCTGCTCGACGATCTACGAGTACCGGAGCGGGGCCCTGCGCTCGGAGGTGTGCTCGCGGGTCGACGTCGAGAGCTCGCTCAGCGCCTCGAACAACAACGACACGCGCCGTGGTTGCGACTACGCCGACAAGAACCTATTCTCCAGTGAGGACGAGCAGGGGCGCATCTCGTGCGCCCACCACCACCACAAGCACCACCACCACGTGACGGCGAGCGCCAACGGGCACAACCGGGACTCCAACGACAAGGAGCTCATCGAGAAGAACGAAGCAGTCGCCGCCCTCAGGAAGGAGGACTCCCCTCCCAAGGGCAGAGGTTAGCTCTCGCGTGATGTTTTCTTTTGCACCAGCTCGAATAATCTAGCTCCCCTCGCAGGTATCCTCCTGAATTGCCTGCTGGCCTTCAGTCCCATAGCTAACGGCAGCAAGATCATCAGCACCGAGCCCGCCGCCAAGAACAGCCTCACCTGCCTGCACGGGCTGAGGGTGCTCTCGCTCGGCTGGGTCATCATGGTCCACACTTACCTCCAGGTCTTCTCCATCGCAGGTATAATGCGTATAACCCAACGCCCGGGTAAGCCAAGGAAACTGCATCACCCCCCACGGGCGCGGGAATGAAAGAACAAATTAATAATCATTACGCTTGTATGCACATTGTACCTGTAAAGGTAATCGCGTCGCGTTGTAGTACATGTATGGTACATCGGCTCGTAAAGGAAAAGAAGACGAGAGTTGCTTCGCGTTGTCCTGCAGTACACGTATATACTTTATACACCTATACATGTGCTATATATTGTCTTTGTTGGTCGCGCGACCGAATTTCCGCTCCGCACGTGCCGGACCGATCGGGATATATATAGCCGCGCCACTCTGCACGGGCGTGACATAGGTGTTACATTTCAGCTGACCCGATCGGGGAGGGCTACTTTCGCTGATAAAGTCGCCGCGTGTATACACGTATATATATATAAATAATTACGCGCATATAGTAACTCTCTCCTCTTTTCCCATGATGCAGAGAACAAGAACCTGCGCACCGTCACCGAGCGGAACTTCATGTTCCAGACGATCAGCAACGCCACCTTCTCCGTCGACACGTTTTTCTTCATCAGGTGAGGCTTTGACCAAATCCTCCCCCTATACCCCTCTATCCTTATTGGTCAACTCTTGCGCATCATCGGGAAACTAATTAAACTGCTATCGAGTCTCGTCCGGGAAGTTTGTCCCTCGAGGCCTTAAGGAGACGATGCACCGGCTAAGCTGTGTTGGAAGCTTAGACGAGCTAGTTCGAGTGCACCGGTGCCTTATTACGCGGAAAGTTGAGACAAAAACGGAGGACCCGTTCGTCGCCCAAAGTTCATACAGAGCCACGTTGACGAGAAAGTCACTACATACTGGAATAAGTATTCGTAATTTGTTCGATTAAACAACGAGCTGTGATGTAATCGCCCGTGTAATAATATGAGGCACACGCGACTGGAGGTGGGGAGGGGGTTAATGCGCCGTTACCCAACAATTTACGGCCCCATAAAAATTTCAGCCAAACGGCCGTACCTATATACCTACACGTAGTGTAAGGGGGCAAAGGTAATTTAAACGCAATGAATTTGCCAAAAGTGTAAAAAGTATGGGCAAGGTATTTTCGTCGTGCTTGCCTGTATTAAATTCTTCATCTTCTCCCCCGTTGTCGCTGTAATTAAATTGTCAACTATACGTATTGCACACCGTGTGTAGGTGTACCCACACGCGATACATCATCCGCTCGCTGAATTAAATTAACTCGATACGGCTATTAGTTATCTCGAAAGGGAGCGATAACAGTTATACCTACGTGCCCATCTGATTCGCGAGCACACGTGTACAATCTTATCGTCCTTTTCCGCGAGCTCGTGAAAGGGAACGGTATCGCGAGGCCCATTACCGTATACCCATCCCCGTAACAAATTACCGTCGCATCTATTTATTACGCTCGATATTATTTTTTATCCCCCCCCCCCCCTCTATATCTGTACCCAATCCCCCACGAATAACGTATCTTATTTATGGGCCACGATAATGTACATGTATATTTTACGGCTCCGGGTATACATGCGCGCATCCCCTGTATCGGTACTAAGATATACGTTCCTGGTTGACGGTCCTCCTATACAGCTGGGATACTTTAACCGATGTCCACGTGGTGACGGCGTAACTGCGACAATGTTGTTGTTTCTTTCTCAAAATAACACATCCCCCTTTATAGCGGCTTGCTGGTCACCATCCTGTTCTACAGATCAATGGGCGGTCCACCGGGTGACAAGTCAAACGTGTCGAGAGCCAACACGAGCAAGTTTGTGATCATGGTGCTCTACAGATTCATCCGGTAAGTCGAAAGATGCGTATCTTTAATCACGTTGGGTAAAACGCGCTTGCACCTACAACGTAATATATAGGGTGCCGTAAAATATACGAGGTCCGACAAGAGTCTTTGCCGCCGGCTTACGCAATATTATAACCCTGTACACATCTTATTACGTATATATATATACCCAAGCTTTGAGCAGCGCAATGAAACGAGTGGGTTATCACCATCTAGGAATATTATACGTAATGTTAATACGCCGCGGTTAATCTTACACCTCGTACGAAAAGCAGCTTTGTATGATCATTTTTTTTTTTTTTTTTTTTCTCCCTTCGGATCAGAGCTCTTCCCTCGCGAGTGTTATTACAAGCTGTTTTCGCGCAGCGGAGAAAAATAGGCGCCAATCGTTTACACGGATGTATATTATTAAATACGTGAATGGGGAGGTTTTTTTTTTTGCTTCCATACTGCTGATGATGAAAAGTCCGAGGGGTAGGTATTCGGTGCCCCATCACCGGTATATGAAGGGGAAACCTGTTTCGCTCGTGCGCCCGTACAATATATATATGTGTACCTGTTTCCACGTTTTTCATCCTCTCCCGCGTGCATACCGCCCGTATATACCGTACGTACGATGAACTCCGTGTACACGGATAACCGCCGATAAACACGCGACATCGAGTACGTACCTATACATATGTATAGCTTAGGATGCACTTTTTTGGATTTACACCTACTCGGAAAATCCCGTGGCTAAGGGATCGAGGGATATCGGGAAAACAAAGAAAAAAAAAAAAAAAAAAACTTAGTTTAGGTGCACGAGCTCACCGATGTGATATATACACGAGGGGGGAGGACCCCGCATGTTTTTGCGTGTTTAAAGGCTGACGCCGTCTTACCTGTTTGTCCTCGGGATCAACGTGGTGGCCATGAAGTTCGCCATGTCGACGACCGTCTTCTCGCCCCAGATCATCGATCATCACACGTGCGAGCAATTCTGGTGGAGAAACGCCCTCTACGTGAATTCTCTCTATCCTCGCACTGAAATGGTAACGTATTTTTTTACACATTATACATCATCCTCGGCTCAACTCACCATGCTAAACACATGTAGGGTAATTTACTCGATCTGCGTGCATTTGTTTTTTTTTTTTGTTTTTTCCTTTTTCCCCCTCAAGGAGCACTTATCCAACTAATTTAGATCTCTTTGGATGATTTGAAAAAGAAAACCGTGACCCTCTTACTCGATAAAAAGGCACGGGATGCTGGATAAACTTTTAAATCTAACGAGCTCTAAAAAAAAAAAAAAAAAGAAAAAAAAAATGGTTCAAGAGACGATAACTGCAGAGAGGAGGAGCTCTTGACGCGACTGGGCTTCCCGTGTACGTACGTATGTAGTAAAACCACCCTGAGCCGGCCATTAGGTGCGCTCTTTGGTCTTGGGAGCGCGGATGATGTTTCCCCCGGGCATTTCCGCAATATCTCATTCGATTTTCCGCGTTTAGCGCCACCGGGGTGGTGTGACCCTCTGGTGGGCTTCTTCTTTTTGCGGAACATTTTACCCGACGGGTGCTTGAAGTTTGGAAAAAAAAAAAAAAATCTCGGCTACGTCGCAGTTGCGCCAGACGCGGCGATCATTAAATTTTTTTTTTCTCCCCCCAACGAAAAAAAAGACACGTCGCGAGCGACAAAATATTTAAAGGATTCATATTTTTACAGAATACGTACAGGTACGCGTGGAAAATACTTTCTTTTTTTTTTTTCATTTTTAATTGAAACTCAATGATTTAGCGACGGACGAACAAGAGCGCCAAGCACAGCCCCGCGTACATCCCTACATTTGTTAATTGGAAAAAGGGGTGGAAGCACGAAAACAATGCACTAAAAATTAATTACCGGAGTGTACGCTCGTGTTCATACTGATTTATCAACTCGCGCAATGTAGTGTTAATAAAGCTCAATAAAATCCACAATACCATATATATATCCGGTCGATCGATTGGAATCGTAAATAAACGCAGGAGAAGGAAAAAAAAAAATAATGAACGAAAGTAAAGCACGTGTGAATTTTCATTTGCAGTGCATGCTTTGGAGCTGGTACATGGCGAACGACATGCAGTTCTACGTCCTAGGGATGTTTCTGCTGTTGCTGTCGGTCCGGTACTTCCGTGGCGTCGTGGTGACGATCCTCGTCCTGACGGCAGCTTCCTGGTTGACCACCTTCGTCATTGCCTACAGCAACGACTACGTCGCCAGGTATACATGCCCATGTGCACCTACACTTCTCGCCCCTCCTCACGACTATACTTTTACTCGTACCGATTGTGACATAATTTCTCTCTCTCTCTCTCTCGGACCTCATTCGTTTATCGTACTTTCCATACGCGCGTGCTGCGCTCCATTGCATTGTATATTATATAAATATATTGGTTATATACACTGTGTACGCACACGCTTACGTATAAACGGCCTTGCGCAACTGCGCAGATTTTAACGGGGACTCTTCTTACCTAACACTCGTTTTACCGATTCCCTGCAGTCGGCTGTATATATACTTGTGCACTCTCTATAGAGCGTATACTAATGGGTGGGTTTGTGCGTGTGCTCGAACACGATCCCAGGGCATCGGCCGCGCTTTAACGCGAGCTGCTACTATACCTCGCTTGATTCAATTACCAAGTTATTACCACCACCTCTTGATGCCCCTGCCGTGTACCGCGCTACGATAATGGCGCCCAAGAGGTGGAGGTGTAGGGAAAATTCATCACGCTGGCCTCTAATATCGCTGTTGCGTTTAATCAGTGGTTTATGTACGCCGCGGCGTGCGTCCATCTCTCTATATGCACCTGCCCCCTTTCCCTGTCTTATTGTAAAAGATTACGTGCCGAGCGATATCGCGTACAGCAGTGGTATGTACACAGGGAAAAGAGCGAGCCAGACATCTCGCTATAAGTATATACCGTTAGCTTTACTGTATTGTGTTATAATACAGGGTGTGGGTGAAACGAATGCCCATTTGGTTGAGCTGTACATAATATAAATAAACCTGTCCATACCAATGCTATTATATATTATATAGTAAGCGCTTTTGGAAACTCGAAACTTGGGGGTACGTGTGTCGGTGAACGTGCCAAGACCGAAATTAATTGGGACCCTCCGACTTGATTACTTTTCAACAAAATCGTTATTTTTCATTTTTATGATGTATGAATTGAAAATTTAATTGAAAATGCAGTACAGCCACGCGGGTTGATGTAAAATTTTGCGCGTCATTGCAAATCAGAGCCAACAAAGGGACAGCGATTTTCGCGCGGTGAATCGACTTGAAATTCTCAAATTAGGAGAGAGAGAGAAATGGGGGGTTGGGGAAAAAAAAAACGCGATCCTGGTCCCGAAATTAAAAAGAGTCCGGTCTGCGGGGGGCTGCTCTTGTTGTTCTCTGTTGTCGCTGCTACAGGATCCAGGAGCCATTCGCGCTTTTCGACGAGCTCTACGACAAGCCCTGGCTGAGGGCCGGCCCGTACTTTATCGGCATGATGGTCGGCTACCTCCTCTACAGGACCAACTGCACCATCAAGACTTCCCACGTAAGTTATGATGATATACCTTATACTTTCTTTTTTTTCATAGACATGTATCATTCAATGAAATAAAGATAATTGGTTGGCGTGAAAAACAAGTGACACAATTAATGGCGAATGCGTGGCCCTCGCAGGTGTTTCAGTTGACCGGCTGGTTGGGCTCGGGTTTGGTGATGTGCGTCCTGGTGTACGGACTGTACCCGGGCAACCTGAGCGTGACGGTGAGCTCGTTGTACGCGAGCCTCGGTCACACCGCGTGGGCCTGCGCCGTCGGCTTCATCGTCGTCCAGTGCTGCTGCGGCGGCGCGCCCCTCGTCGATCGGCTCCTCTCCCTCAGGATAATCTACCCCCTGTCGAGGCTCACCTACTGCGCCTACCTCGTACACCCCGTCATCATGATGTACACGTCCACCCGCATGGACGGCCCCCTACACCTTCACAATGGCATTGTCGTGAGTATCGCATATACTTACCCGTTCATATACACCCTGCCGGTCTGGCGCAAGTGCAGATAGCCAGTGGTGGAATATCCGATTATCTCTATAGGTGCAAGCACACGAGTGACAGTTCAACGCTGATTAACACTTTCAATGGATGCTTCAAAAAACCGAGCATGAATTTTACAAATTACATAATCAAAGTGGCTCTTGGTAACCCAAATCCACTGTATATGTTGAAAAGTACTTGTTGTGTTTACTTCTTCTGTACAATATTGTTAATGCCTTGTAGTAATATATTATTTTGTTTTACTTGTAAGGAAAAACAACACGAAACTGCACCCTATGCCATTTCATTCGTTGACTCCCAAAAATGGTCCCCACCGGAAAATTCAATCCGCCAAAGTAGCTTTTCGATTAATCACTTGAAGTAACAGAGAGAGAGAGAGAGAAGGATATGTATATATCTTATATCTTAACGGGCCGTTTAATCTGTTCCAGCTCATTGTTTACTTTGGGAACTGCGTCGCCTCCTACCTCATGTCTTTCTGCATTTCCCTGGCTTTCGAGGCGCCCATAGTTAATTTGCTCAAGCTCGTCCTGTCCCCGAAAAAGCGAACGAGATAAGGCACGGCCTCGAGGAGCACCTCACGTGCGCACCGCAAACTTGGAAAACGAGCATCCTCGGTGAGTAAACGCGAAACTTTTTTAATCCCATCCCCTCGCCCCCGCTCCCCGTTTTACGTCTCCTTTTAACGAGCCTCGTACGCCGTTACAGGATAACGAGGCGCGCCGCACCGCGGGCATCGGTGTTTATTTCACCAACCAAAAGGAACCCGATGTATGGGCGCGCGCGAGCACGCGGATCATACAACGAGCTCGTCAACTGGCCCGGTCCTCAGCTTTTCGATCGGGTCATCTGTGGGAAAAACAAAAAGCCAACTTTCCATCTCCGCCGCTGCGTCCGTCAGTGTGCCAAAGTGCGGGTATCAAAGGTGTTTATGCACGCGACAGTGCGTGGGACTCGTCGAGCTGCGATCGTCCCCGGGAACGAGACTGTTTTCTCATTTGTTTTATTCTCAACGAGTCACGGATGTGTACATGTGTATAAGGGTGGAAAAAAAAAAAAAATATTAACATTAAAAATCATGTAAAGTTAAACGTTAGCTGTTCAAGGATGTATAAGCATCATACCTTTACGAATATGAATAGGTTGTAAGCTTCTTTAGTCGTATCGTTTTGTATAATAAACTGTACTTATATGTATATGATGAGCTACTGTTTTGTTACCGTATCAATAAAAGGATTTTTTTGTAAGAACATTACTCACCCGCGCAGTCTCTGCCTTTGTTTTTTTTTTTTTTTTGCTCGAGATGCCATCCATTTTTGCGGACCATTAAAATGCAAATAGCGCGAATAATTTTCATGCACCCGTATATGTATATATACACCGAAAGCCGGAAAAGCCAGATTAGCTTTGAATTTTTCGTGAAAAATGCGATCCGATCGAGCAATCCTCGATCGATGAAATATCGCTCTTTTTGTTGCGATACGTATCGGATACGGAACAATAAACCTGTATATCCAATAGCAATGGCCCATAAAATGGAACTATTACTCAATTTAGTGCGCGCACTGGCGATGATGGAAAAAGCATCAATCTTTTATTTTCCACCAATCAGTGAGTTATTAAAAAAAAAAAAAAAAAAACTTGATTAAGCGCAGCTGCTGATAAAAATATTTATAATTTAACGAAACAAACGCGAATAAAGTGTGTGGATATATAGCTGTGGATGGAGCGCTGATCACCCGAGCACGCAACTTCAGGGTGCGAGCTCGAGGAGGCTACGGGTACGTATGAAATACGGTGGGTGCCGCCTGTCCTCGCGGCGCCCGCGAAATTTATCGGCTCGGGCCTTGATTGTTGATTTAGTATAAGCACACCGGATCGAGCCCGCCACGATGAATCACCCGCTCGCTGAAGCGCGACGAGATCGCCGACTTTGGGTGTACCCGCCCTTTTTCTTGTTTTTTCATATTCGTTCGTTTTGCCGCCGCAAACTGCTTTTTTATCGGTACTTGATTGCGACCACGTGGAATTTTTTTCACCCTCGAAAAAGAAGGGACTTTTGAATTTTCGGACGCGCATGGGCTTTTTCAGTTTTGAGAGAAGTTGAATTTGATGGGGAAAAAAAAATGTTTGATGCGTACGAGAGCGTCGAGTATAAATTACAGAATTAGCGAGAATGTAAGTGTGGAGGGACAGTGGAAATTTGAAATTTCGCGGGACGACCGATGACACTGATTTATGCGAGTTGTATACCCTTGGATCCTCTCCAAAATCCCACGTCTTTCCGAAAAAACCACTCTTCCCGGGAGCGTCGCTCGCGATGAAAAAAAAAGAGATCACTGTTGGAGTAATTTGAATAGAATTACGAATTGGTGAGCAAAAAATTGCCACTTTCGCTCGAAAGGGAAGAAACCCGGTGCCAACGAGAGACAAGTGCATTGAAACGCACAGGGCGAGCGAGGGGCCACAGAAAAAGCGAAAAGGGAAGCTTTTTAATCCGGTCGCCCGCACCGTCGCCTTCATCATTGTCTACCGGAAAATCTCACGTCTTGTCGTCGACGCAACCATATCGGCCACGACACGCCCCAATTTTTTTGTTTTCTAATCTACTCGCCGCAAGTGAGAAAATTTCGTCATCGCTTTGCTAACGTGCAAAGTTCGCGATGAAATATTACACATTTCAAGACATTGTAGTGATCGAAAGATTGAACAAAAAAACGAGTTGGCCCATCATTTGAAGTACATTGAATCATCAAAGTTCTTATTATTTTTTCATCGAGCGGCAAACGCTTTTTCAAAGGCTTCCCCTTTATACTTTCTGCGAGGAGGATTTCCAGTTCCGCTCAAGGTGTGCCCGATACTGCGTGCTGCACTTGACACACTCTATCAGAGAAATGTACTGTAGAATGTATATGCAACATAAGCATACATAATATATATGTATATATTGCACGTAAGGCAAGTGCAAGCGTATAATACATGTGCACGCGACTGCTTCTCCCTACCATTTTCAACCCTTTCAGATGAGCTGTACATGCGAGTATATACACCACTACACCTGCGTCAGCTCCTATACGCATTTCTCATTATTCTTTCCCAGCACCTAACCTACTTCGCTCGGGCGCAGCGACGGAGAGTCGGCAAAAAGCAAGACCTACTTTTCTATCCCTCAATTATGCAATTAATTAAGGAATGGCCACTTTGAGCGGGCAATCCTCGCCTACTTCTTTTTGCCGAAGAACGGGGAGTGCTTTCATTGTTGCCTACACCCGCCACTCGCGCCTTTGCTTCTTTTCATCCACCCGTCTTCCGCCGAGATGTCCGCCCAACCCTTTCTTTCTTCGGCCCAAAGCAAAAAAGCCATTTTCTTAACGGCCAGGGGATTGTTTTCGCGCCGAGGGAGGAAATACGGGGCAAAGAGAGCCAAAAAGGGCCATTATTCGCAATCGCGAGCTCGTGATGTTTTCGATCGCCGCCGAAAGTTTCGAGCGGTTGTAAATAATACCGGTAACGAGCGCAAGGGAGTCATTATTGAGTGTACGGCGATACCTCGGGGCAAAAAGTTTTTTGATGCTTTCGAAACGCGAGTCTGCGAACGCGCGCACATGGGGTGAAAAACGTCGGCCAAGTACTTTTAACTGGCTGAAATATATTATCCCGACACCCCTTGGCAAATGTACCTTTAGCCCGCTTGGCTGTTGTTCTCGGACCGGATTTTGAATTATGCTTTTTGGAAAAGAAAAAAATAGCCCACGTTCGTAGTTTGCACTCGACTTCGAGACGCTCAATACAAAATCAAGATTTTATACGCTTACTGAATCGTGATTTCGGCGTCAGATCTCGTCGTGTATAGGTATACATTTTACGCGTAACCAGCTGACGCGTAAAATTTCGCTTTTGTTATTATTAAATTCGGCGTATGGATGCACGCACCCGCGGGATTGATTAAAATTGCAAAACCATTCGGATGCTTCGATTAATGTATATTCATGTACACCAAAGCGTGCATATACACTCGTAAAATATTCCGCTATCGTTTTATACTGCGAGGGGGGGAGGGGAGTGGGATCGTTTTTTAATATTCACGCGCAAGCCGGAGCTGCACGGAGCGGCGTTTTCATCAGGAAATAACCCATCGCCCGAGTGCCAAAAGTGATAAAAAAAAAAAAACAAAAGGTAAGTACCTCTTACCATTGTAGACTTTCAGCCATTTTCCGATATCAGACCTGTTGGCGATGCGTAAAAAAAATAGATTAGGTTTACAAAAAAAAACTACAATCGATCCAGCACGTGTGGCTTCGTATACACGTTCTCGCGAGGGTCTTTTATTATTCAAGCCAATCGCAGGGCTGCCTCCGTCACTATGTACCTCTTAGGATTTCATTGCTCTCTCTCTCCTTCTCGCTACCCTCTCCACGTGCAGTGCGCTGATAAAATTGTTCGAGTGTTTATTTTTAGATAAAACGGGCTGTGCTTACGCTACCGTGTCCCGGAATTTCAAATATTGAAACCATAAAAGAGAGAGAGAGAGGGAGAACGGAAGCTCGATATACCTAAAGTGGTACTTTCGGGAGTAAAGTCGTGCCTCTTAGGCAAATTTTTAATATTGTGAAAGTAAAATCTCTTCGCCAATATACTGGAATATAGGTCTATTATGAGCCCGCAACGACAGCACAATCAGAGTGCGAGAGACACACCCTCGAGTACAAAAGCAGATCGTCGTAATTACACATCAGGGACAAGAAAGCTCCCGCTATTAATAATTGTAATGCGCATAGTTCGGAGAGGGGGGGGGTACTTAAAGTTGCGGCGTGCATGCCCAATATCCCCCCACAAGGGGGTGCGGTGGTAATATGATGGTGCTCGCAAATATGCACCAACTACGCACAGCACGCGGGAGAGCAGCAAAAGCCCGACAATGCCGAGCTTGCGCTCGAGCTTAGCTACGAGTATACCCATCGGATATACATGTAACGACTAGCGCCAACGGCACACCTACGTGTAGGTATTCACACAGTGTATGCATAGACCCCCGACATACCCAGTTACAATGACACAACCCCCTTGTATATAGACGTATACGCAGGTAGGTTGTATACATATTATACACATGCACACAGGGTACAACAGAAAATAAGAGGCAGGAAGGGCGCATGCCCAGGGGAGGGCCGCGCGCTTTTCTCCCGACATTTGGAAACTATACGCCGGTTAAATCTCGCGCCGATGACGTTACTCGGCCACCAGTCGGCCGAGCGCCTCCGCGTACGCTCGCTCGTGTCCCGCGGCCTCTTTGGGCTCAACGGTCGGTTCGTCTCGTTCGTGGATTACTTATTGCCGTCGCGTGCTGGCGCGCGATGAGCAGCCGACCTCTTCGACAAGTGAATTCGGGCTGGATCGCATGTAAATTACACACCCGCCGCTAGTGCGCGGGAAAAACTTCTTTTTGTTTGTTTACCGGAGCAGTTTAACTTTGTTGTCCCGGAATCGACGTTACTTACTAATTACTTACACGTGTAACGAGGCAAAAAAGGACCGACGTTGCGCGCGGATTTCGATCGAAAAGAGTTGAATGACAAACGAGGCAGACGTACTTACCTGCAGTTACTAAGGGTGCATGCACTCGTTGATTGATCACTGCAGGCAGTCGCGAGCTCCATGTATACAATGCTCGTGTATGTACATCGTGTGCGTGCTGCTACACGTGTAGGTATAATATACTTTTGCCGGCAGCAGTTCCGCGTGAGCGTGTGCAATCACACGCGCGGCCGACTCGACTGATTTTTTTTTTTTTTTTCCGTTGGGTGCTGACAGACGATAGAGAGGAAGGAATAAAAAGAAGAAGAAGAAGAAGCATTAACAAGTGTGAAAACATACTGCAGTGTCGCTGGAACGTGTCGGTGCATACGTACATACATATATTCTTGCAGTGTACTTGTGAGGATTGGGGACAAAATAGGGATACCCGAATAGGTGATCCACGATGAAGGTCGCCTGATAGCTCGCTTCCACCTGACTCGTCCCCGTCGCGAGGAGGAGGCCCTGGAAGCAAAAGGTGAGGTAGTTTCATTTACCTGTTTTTTCTTTATGGAGAAACATAAAGCAGCAGACGACGGGGTATTGTTCGCGGGGGGGGGCGGGGGGGGTCTCGTGCGCCGAGCCATTAAACAGAAGCTCAGCGTGCACGTGACAGTATATATAATCAAAACGCGGTAGTAGAAAAAGTCGACAAGCGCCCCGTACAACGAACGTCTGGTTACCAATATTCATTTGCATTTTTTTTAGTGGTATTGGTACTTATTGCACGAAAAATAATAACAACAAATCGTGTGAATATTTATGTTCTTTGGAGTAAAACACGCTTGTACATTTCGTTGTTTGTTTTTTTTTTTTTTTTTTTTCCCCAAACAATTAGTATAGGTACCGTCCATCCACTCTGCCGGTCTATTCCGAGTGATTGTTATTCATCGAGATGTTTTTCCTCCGGAAACGAAATAATTCAGCGAACCCGCGTCCCCGAGGTTATCCCCCCCTTACCCCGACTCCACGTGGTAGGGAGACAGCAAAATACGAGCTGAGCCTCTTAAATATTGATAATCTCGGGAAAAGTGGATGAATATTCAAAGTCCAGTTTCGTCGTGTCTCCGAGAGCGCGACTCCTCACCGAGTCGGTTTTTAAGCTCGCGACAATACACCGACGAATCGAAGGAAGCCCGCGGGGTAAGTTCGTTAAGTCCGAGCAGAGGGTGACGAGGGGCCAAACTTTTTCGACCCGCAAAAACTTTCGAGGATCAACCGCTTCGTGCTCTCGCTGCGGCTGCACTTTGCTACACGTATACGAGGAAGCGGTTTTACTTCCACGCTCCAGAGAAAAAAAAAACAAAAAAAAAAAAAAAACTTTTTCTCGTGCTTAATTTGGACCCTCGCATAAATAAATGAACGTTTCTTGGACCCTCGTATACATCAACCGGGGGCAGCTTGGGCTACATAATGCATTATCATGGTACAGCTCTACTTTTACGTCGAGCGAATAGGGGGGCCGGGGATGAACCGGGAAAATTGAATTTCCAGAAAATCGAGAGAAATCCGCTGGCCTACAGTAGACAAAGGCGTGTTTCCGAGCAGTAAACCAATTTATGGCCAATTTCTTCCGTTCCGCGGCGTTATCGAGTTCACCGGGGAGCATCAGCTGCGGATCGGATCTTTCATGTTACCGTTTCGCGAAACTGATATGGCACAGTATTTGAATCCTCCGCGACAAAAAAAGGATTACCGTATAGGTTCTGGATTCGATAAAGTTAAGGGGCCGGGAGAGGTTGCTCAAGGCAATTATTTTTCGGGAAATTTTTTCAAGGGTGGCCAACGAAAACGAGATACATTCATAAAATTACCGTTAAAATAAAGCCGATGATTCATGACTGGCTGGGAAATTACCCCGGAGCAATTAAATGCGGTAATTTTCGGGATCATTGGTTGAAAACTTTCATTACTTGCAGAATTGAGATCACATGTAAATACCACGATTTAATTTGCCCAGTACGATTAACAACCGTAAAGTAATTGAAGGTCATAAATTTACACATCCAATTTTATACACCCCATGATAAAAAATGGGCATGGACGCGTAATTATAATTTGGAGGCTCGAATTTAAATTATGCGCATATAGTTTTTTACTCGACACAAATTGTCAAATCGTCCATCTAATAGATGCGTCTCGAACCCTGCACATTTATACGCCGTGGTGTATCACAAATTGCGTGATCTGCATATACGCGAGAGCAGAGTAAAAATCGACGAGGAGGTGGTGGTGCAAGTGATGGCAGCATCAACAGCTGTTAGCCTGCCCGTGGCCTCGTTATCCACCATATGATATCATCATCATTATCGCCACCGTTTGCTCGAGCCTTTTTGATTTTTCTGCTCATTTTTCGCCCCTCGCGCGTGGCAATTCGATTCCCATTTACCGATCGATTGTGCCTTTTCCCGTACAAGTACACACCGTTCAGGCTCCATTTTTTTGTTGACCTGTTAACGATACAAGATTAATCTTTACGAATAATCAAAGTGAAATTATTGTCAAAGTGAATCATGACGACGCGCGGGTGCAACGAAAAGATGGACGGTCCTTCCCATTCGATGAAGTCAAAATTCAATGAGATAAGTACTTTGGCCTGAACAAAAATCAATATCATTTAATATATACGTAGGTATACGGGGCATTTGTGTCCATGAAAAGAAGGAAAACGAAAGTATAGCTTTGGGCATCCATCCGTGCGTGGTGTGTCGAATTCGCTTCGAGACGGCATCTAGAGCCCTCGGGGGACGTGTCGCGTTCACGTGTTGGTATGTATATGTTTGGGTTAAGCCTCGGATCGCCACCACGTAACCGCAGATAAAAAAAAAAAAAAAAAAAAACTTCGAGATGGACGGGAGTCACGGAAACGTGTCTCTTCCAACTTGGATCGGTGCTGCAGCTAATCGACGATTAATCTCGTGGTCACATTGGCTGAACACTTTCTTTCTATTGTCCCGTGATTCTCCTTATTTTCTTGGGCTAATTACTAAGACAAAAAGACGCTGGGGACTCGATATATTTTTTGTCCCTTTATTCTGTGAGTAAAACCTGATTTTATTATTCCAAGTGACGTATCGGATGTTGGAATTTCATTTAAAGTCAAGAGTCGGAGAGCTAGACCGGTAATGGGATTTCCATCGGAGGGGGATACTCCGGCATTTGCAGTAACTTTATCACAGATACTCCAATCGTTGTTATTAGTCCGACTCGCCGTAAATCGGGGGGTTTCAGTGATTTGGCGATTTAATCGGAAAATTGTTTCAACAAAGTTAAAAGCACCCTTGACGTAAAATTGATCAAACTTTATGGTATCACATATGTGGTTCATTCAATTTACTCGACGGTAATAAAATGCTAGTACTTTACGCTCACTACTATACTATTTTGATGCGTAAACAGATACCCACAAAGTATACCTACGTCTTTTCACAAAAACAATGACAAAAAATGAGCAAATCTCAACTATGATTGTTATACTTCAGTGCAGCAGTGTCATGAGGGGAGGGGGGGAAGAAAAACAATGAAATCCAACGCGCATATCTACATATACGTAGAAGAATTTATTTCGCGATCGAGAAAACTCGTCGAACGAGTCAAAAAGTCCGGGGGAGGGGCGAGCGTCGCGCGTTTCCGAGCAAACTTCCCGAAATGGGCTTTTCTCGCGCGAGCCGAAAAAAGAGAGATCTCGTTCCCTCTCCTCCATTATGCAGTCCGATGTTGTCGAGAGCAAACTTCTCGAGGCCCAATACGTATCGTATCAACCGGCTGACAATACTCATACATAGGCGCACACCCGCTCACGTGACGCGCATGCACGTGTACACATACAAACGCGCTTATTTATCTACAGGGCGTAGGAATTTTCTTCACCAGTGAAACAAACAAAAGCGACGTGCTCCGCGTACACAACCAATGTCCCCTAATGAACAATTCAACGGATCGGACCTAAACCGTATAATTCTCTTTTCTTCCCCCTCTCATTTAAGAACTAACAAAGTATAGTTGCGTGGGGAACAAAAAAATAATACGAATCCTTGTCGTTCGGGTGTGCCCATATCTCAGACACATTGTACCATCATATATGAAAATTATTCTTGGGCACGAAATGAATATCAGAGCGGAAGAAGTACTCGCACCCCGTTGAAAAACAAATTATGCATGCGGTGGGGGTGGAAGAGCGCAAGGAGAGGAAAGGGGGATGCCGCAAAAAAAAAAAGAGGAGGCAAGATAAGTACCCGGGACTTGATTGAGAAAGTAATTAACATCGAGCCGGCACTGCTAATGTGTAGCCCGTATACATACCACGTATATAGGCGTGTGGGAGGACGAGGCGCAGGTGCAGCGCCTATACGTATTAATAATGGACTGCAGGCTTAATGAAAAAATATTATCTATTGTTCGCACGGCGCGCGAGAGTATTACCGAGTGATATAAATCCCGTACATGCGGTGTGTCTTCCTATATAAATAAGTACCGGTGTACGCATGTACTCGTGTATGAATGGGTATAATATGTGGAGCTAAAGCCCTTTTTCCGGACTTTGCGCGCGAGATTTCAACACACGCGAAGCGCCACGTACAGCCACGCGGAACTCTTATTCCGGATGTAATGCGTGTATATATTAATACGCGAGTTGAGGCTCTATATGTACGCTTATTACAGTGATATTACGCGATAGCTTACACACACAGTTCGTGCGAATTACCCTCGGGGTGCTGATTAAATGAAACGTGCCACCTTGGCATTTGCGTTAACAGCTCTACACGTGGCATGTGAAGACTTAAAATATGAAGCCACCAGTTTACATTAGCGCGGCTTAGCGTTATTTTACATCGATATAAAATTTTTTTTTTTTTCCATCCACCCCCTCTCTTGTACTTATGACCTCAACATCTCTGCGCGTAGCGGGCAATTAAAATATATATTCATCGCTGGTACAGTTCTCGTACATAAATATTCATATAACACGTAAGGTATAGGTGTACACACTATCTACCCGATGGCTAACTTTGTCTCGCCGTGACTATATATACATCTACATCATGGCTCACGGCCCTTTTCACAGATCATTTTTCCTAATTATACCGAGCCCCCCCTCCCCTCAGCAGATAACATTTACATACAAAGCGCGCGCTCTCGCGTAATCGCTCCTTCCCGGTGATGATGGGATCTTTGTACGAACCTATACGCTGCGCGTATACCTACATCAATTAGTATATTTTCACCGGAATCAATTTATCACGCGCAAAGTTCCCATGCTTTAAAAATCTATTATTAATACTTACACGCACGCAAGTGTGTATGTGTATAATTACGCGATGCGAGCCTTCGATCACGTGCTGAATAGGTACGTGTATCGACGTCGTCGGGCACAGTGAGAGAGCCGCTCGATCAGATTGTGATTTAATTTGCGCGCAGCGTCGACTATTTTTCGCTGCCTATACACCTTATTTCCGCGAAACTGATGGAATCGATCGC